CAGCAAGGGTGCCATACGCCTTCCCCCATTGAAGCGGGGTGCCTGACACGCGTGCAGAACGGAAACGTGCGCGCACACCAGCCGAACGCACGCAGTGCACCACAGCCTGCCAGAGAAGCGGAACACGAGACAGAAAGACAGAAAATTCTACCACCCACACAAGGACGACGAGGCCGCCCCAGGTGCAAAGAGCGCCAGGACGACGGCGAGCCTCGCCCCAGATGTGGGGTATGCACACTGAAAAACCGGGCTTACATACTCTGATGCACTGGGCAAGTGCTAGGACGCGGGGGATGGCCGTCTCTCCCCTCCCAGCTTGAACTTAACTGCCACGGGCAAGACCATTAAGTTACATAACAGGCCACATAACACCAAAAACAAACCTTGAAACTGAAACCATAGGCGACGCCAGGACGACAGCCAGGAAACCCCAGGTGTACCTAAGCCTAAGGGCGGACGCCTGGACGGCCCCTGGACTGGCCCAGGTGTGGGCCCAACTCGCACCCTGAGCCAGTGCCCCCATGGCGGGCCCTCCAGATACGGCCAAAGACAAACTGGGCAGAGCGATCAAGGGCCCGCCGCCTTCCGCTCCAACGAAAGGGACACAGACTAGCAGGGCGGCGAGCTAAGAGGGGAGGCCGCGGTCGGGTCGGCATGACCCCCGCCCTCGCCCCTGAAGAACATTGCACGGGTGCCTGCCAGAAGGGCAGTCGCATCGGGCCGTGCGCAAGAGGAAACGCTAGAAACCAGGGCAACCGCAGGCCCTTCGCCAGAAACAGAAAAGAAAGCGGTGGGTCAATCCGAACTGTCTGACTCCTCCTGGCGGTGGGGCTCCTGCTGACCTCGCCCACACGGGGCAGCGCCCGTGGCCCTGCTGCTGGCTCCCGCGGCGGCGCTTTCCAAGCGCAAACCCATCGCCGCGTATCGGAGCACTTGGGGACCGATGTCATCCACTTCGTCATCGGGGGAGGGAGGCTCGAACGAGGAGTGGGGAACATGGTCGGCAGGCAGCTCCTCAGGCCTGCCTATCTTCAAGAACGACTTGCGAAGATGCCGTCCTTGGATAATATTATTGAAATTCGTGAGGCCGTGACCCTTGAGTTCTTGTGCACAAGTCCTGGACAGGGCGGTTTTCATGAAAACGGCCTGGTGCATATAACCCCCGCATTTCGGGCAGAACGAAACATCGGCACCCTCGGAGCACGGGAGGACCACCACGCTGTGCCCTAAAGAGTCGGCCACATCCAAATCATGGTTGGCAGTCAGTAAGCATTTCCCACTAAGTGGCTTAGTGACCGAACGTGAGCCAACTCTACATACCGTGCGCCTCCAAACAGAATGCTGTCATTGCCATTCGTGCGGGGCCGAGGGTTCCGCAGGAACCGCGATGGTGCGACAGGGGTTAACCAGCGGGCAATCCCCTAGGTCCAGCCGAGGCCATAAAGGCAAAAGCTTGGCAGCAAGCCGACAAACAATTTTACTGATGTTGACGCATCGGGAGACGCGCTCAACCTCATGGGCAGACGGCTGGGGGTGGGATCGAGCGCCTCGTTGGGCGGCCTGGTCCGCGTAGTTATTCCCAACCCTCAACAATCGTTCGGAAACGGAAATACCTACCTCCTCCACGTCCTGATGGGCCTTGACCTTGACCACTTCACGGACGTGTGGGGCATTATTGATATATCTATAAAGTGCCCCGCATATCTTCTACGATAAGACAGCCTTTCACTGGGGGGCAGGCGGAAATGATTGACTACCGCAAGGCAATCAGAGAAGACTTCAGACTGGGCAACGATATGCAGCGCGGCCATGGCCAGGGCGCTGTATTCTCCAGCTGGCGCAGTCTGACTGACTGGAGCGTGGACTGGGCCATGGAGGGCACACAGGAGGGAGCCCTGGGGGGAGACCATGCAAACACCCCAGCCTGCCCTCGATAATTCTGGGATGGGATGCCAAAAACAACTCCCGTCAACGAAAATACGACCTTGGATGTCTCGGTTTGCGAGCTCCTCCGAGAAGTCCTCATCCTCAGCTGACGGCAGAATGACCCCTCCCCCCGAACTAAGAGCTTTCGGCCAGAAAGATTCGGGATGCTCGAAAATACCCCGATCGAACAGGATCTGATCACTATTCGATAAAGGTCCCCGAGCCTCCTCAAGGATCTCTGCAGGAATAAGCTCGGCACGAGTTTCCTGGACGGCCGAACAGTCATACAGACGGCGGTGGATGGTATCCCTGCAGAGACCACAAAGCGGGCAGAGCAGCTGGTTCTCCTCCAGTTGGTAGCCTAAGGTAGCCGCGCGGTCGGCTGTCCAGGTGCCAGCACAACAAAGGGCAAAATACTCAAAATAAATTTGGGGCGAGTTAGGTCAGGCCTGTCCCCCCTTCAAAAATATTCAAAAATGTCCCCATATCATTTTTCACTATTTTTGAATATTCCTCCTGTAGAGGGACAGGCCCGACTTAAGCCTAGATCTCCCGTCGTGGTTTCTCGCGATGTTTTGCGGGTTTGGCTCGGGTACGGGAGCCGAGCAAGCTTCGAGGCGCTTGCAACTGCGCACGGGCGCCAGAGCCGACGAACACACACACACACACACACACACATCGCTTTGACCCCTCTCTCGCCCAGCGTGTCGGGCTGTGCTCTCTGCTCTTTCGCTGGTGCGGATTGCCTCTGCCTCGCCGCCGACGAAAAAGAGTGTTGTTGGGCTCCCGTCGTGATTTCTCGCGGTGCTAGGCACGATTGGGTTCCGCACTTCGGCTCCCGGGGGGCCGCCTTCGGGCCCCGGAGCCATGCAGAGTGGATCCGCCCACCGTGCCCCTGCACGGTGCATGGCGCGCCCCGGGGGGGGGGGGCCAGTGGAACCCAGGAAATCTGGGGAGCCCTGGGAAGGCCGGCACCTCAGAATCACCCGAGACGTACCCCGCCTCCTTCTCCACGCGAGGCCCCCCCATTTGCACGAGCGCTCCACACGAAAGAGCACATCCCGAGACAAGAACAATCTACGCTGCCCTGCGCTCCGCCGCGCCTCCCGGGAGCCCACGGAAGCGGCGACGGTTGCCGCGCTCGCAGCCCCCGAGGGAGCTGCGAGGTCACAAAATGATCTGCGCTGCCCTCGCCCCTGCCGTGCCTCCCAGGAGCCCACGAAAGTCACTTTCGTGGGCTCCTGGGAGGCACGGCGGAGCAGCCCTCCTACCTACTCCTCCTCCTCCCTCCTCCTCCTCCTCCTCCTCCTCCTCCTCCTCCTCCTCCTCCTCCTCCTCCTCCTCCTCCTCCTCCTCCTCCTCCTCCTCCTCCTCCTCCTCCTGCCGCCTTGTCGCCACTTTTAGGTTGCGACAAGGCGGCAGGAGGAGGGAGAGGCGAACAAGGACCACCGTGGTCTGTTCAAGACGAGATCCCAGCACAGAAGGGTTGGGAGAACGGAACATACGAAGTGGCCCCGGGACACGCAGACAAGCAGACACAAATCCCAAGATCCCCCATCTTTTCCCATCTCTTCTGGACGTTCGTTATCCCCGCCACTTCCCGCACCCAGACCTGCGACGTCCTGAGTTTTTCAGCCGGGGTCCCTGGACGTCCCGACCCTTTCCCCGGGGCCGGATTTTCATCCCGAGTCGCGTTTTGACGGTCCCGAGGCCTTGCGAAGGCCCCACGAGGCCGAAGACGGCCGCAAAACCTGCCGTCGCGATGCTTGCACGACGCGATCAGGTCTGGGTATGCTCCGCCTCCTCCTGGGGATCGACGATGATTTGTGTCCGTGTGTTGTTGCCCCCCCCCTGGAAGTCAGACCCACAAGACATCCAGGGAACCCCGGGGCAGAGGCCGCCCGGCCGGCACAGGCCCTTGTTCACCCACGGGCGCCTCAAAAACCAGTGGGAGCACCCCTTTCGGCACGCGTAAAAAAAGAACAACAAAACAACAACAAACAACAAACAAACAAAAAACTGCATGCATAAACATATACCCGTCGGTCGGAAGAAGTGGGCGGAAACATGACGCAAGAAGGCGTCGGACGTAGCTTGGGCTTCCGCCCGCCCCCTGGAGAGGAGAGAAAAAGTGAAAGAAACCACTCGATCATTGAAGTAGGAAGGTGCCTAAAGTAGATGGGGATCCGAAAATCCCAAAAACATATACTTTCAACGGCCGACAGGTACTTTCGAAGGTCCGCGCGGAGTCCTTAAATCTGCGCTGGACCCCCCTCCCTGGCGCGCGGAGCGCGCTAGGGGCGGCGCCTGAGGCGCCGCCAGAGGGTGCCCAGCGCCGACCCAATAAATCTGCTCGGACCTCCGAAAGCTTGTTTCCAAAGATTCATCTTCTTCGAATGCCGGCACCTCAGCTGGGGGCCGCTATCGGGCCCCGGGACCATTCGCAGTGGATCCGGGATGGACTGCCAACGGGAG